TTTCAAATTGCCGATATTTTATCTTGGCACGAGTAAATGCACAGGTTCAATAATTCAAAAAAATGACGTGGTTACTTTCGTAAATAATAAAATTTTCGGTGTTGTGCGTGCAATTATCCTAAAAATCAAGTGAAATTGGTTTTGTTTGGTTGTTTTGGTCTCATTATTAAAATATTAGTTTAGTCATTGCCTATAGTTTTGGACAAATTTTTATTTTTTGTTATTGGTTAGGTTTTTATTTTTGTGAAGTGGATCAAATAATATAATAAATTAAATTCAACTTTCAAAATTTTAAAATATTAAAATATTGTAAAAAAAATGATATAAAAATCAACAAAATTTATTTTAGATTTTTTTGTAATATTATTATTTAGATATAAGATGATCTTTTTTTACTGCTAAAATTAATTATATTTTAGTTTATTAAAAAAAAGCAAATTAAAATCCAGTTCAATATAACTTGATTCAGTTTGACACGTGTCAAATCAACCATTTATTTCTATTCATTTTTATTCAATGTGCATTTATGTTTTTATTTTGCACGTCCGAACGGCTAACCACTGACTGTCACATCGCCCACCGATGAGATGTATGGAGACATGACCTTCTGTGGTTGGCTCTCCGGATGGAATATAATCTCATATCTGGGACAATTTTTAGGTTGTTTTACGTTTTAGACTGTCACTACAACTCAATTTTGAAAATTATATTCTTTTGTTATTTTCTAGAAATTTTGTTGTGGAAAAATATTTTTTTTAACCTGATCTGTTAAAATGCGGTGATCGTAAAAAAATATCTTATTCTTTGACAAAAAATATTTATAATTATCACCTAATTATTTTTTAGACCACATTTTTACTCACTTTTACAAGTAGCTTAACCCATTAAAAAAAAAGAAAATATTTCATCCGCTATCCACACATTCGAACAACAGCGATGATCCGACCACTTGAAATGCATGTTGAAATAACGGGAATGTCACCGCTATGACGTGCACTTCAACCGGTGAAATATTTTTTTTCCTAAAATAGAGCCTAGAGGTCACCATCATCGAGCATACAAGTTCCATTCAATTGGGTCGAATCGAATGAATGGATTCAAAACCAGTTTTGTATTAAAAAACAATGGATATCAAATTGCCCAAATAGAAGGGTCATTTCTCAAAACCAACCCACTCTTACCAAATCTAAATTTAAACATGTTTAGTTCATTAGGTGTAGTTGCTGCCAATGATTCGATTTCAAGCTGAGTTGAGATTTACTCAAAATTGTCTCGAGAAGAATCTGCTTCAAAATTTAGGCTGGTAGCTCGACTCGTTTATTTCGATTCGATCTCGATCATAACAAAATTTCGAAACAATTTTTGAGCGATAAATAATTTTCGAACAAATTCGCTAAATTCACAGCCGTAATATTACTAAGTTGGTTGCGTAGTTATAATCTTCAAACTAAATCACAACCGTAGCGGCTTTCCACAATAAAAAAAGAAAAGGGAAAAATGGCCGCAAATCATTTTCACGGCAGTCGCTGTGCAGGTCAAACCTAGCCCTAAATCTTTTTCTTTTTTTATCCTAAATTTGAATAATCTTTCCTTCCCGATCTTAAATTTAGCTGATCAATGTTCATTTTTTTTTCCAGATTTATTATAATTTTCTCTTATAAATTCATAAATTAAAGCAATTTAATTTGAATAAGGTTTCAATAGATTATTAATTTCTCAGAGGAGACAATTCGGCATCTTCGAATCTGGTCGAGGCCGTGCTAACTGCCAAAGGATCTCAACTGCCACAATTATATTTTAAGCGCCAAATCAATCAATATGATAAGCTATTTTTTTTAAAATAATTTCACACTGTTGACGAACGGATGATTTCATTTGAATTGATTAGATAAATCTAGCTAGGGTTTGATCGTGTCGGCTTTTGTTTGATTCTTATGTTTGTGCTCTTTCGAACTTTCTTGTGTCCTTCCTTCTCAATTTCGGATTGACCAGATTTTTTTTCCTTTGGGAGGAGTGCTGTCATCGTTTTCAGAGACACCTGTAGGGTTATCTGAAGTTCTGCAAAAAGGGATCGGGAGCTAGGGTTTTTGAGATTTTTGGAGATATTTAGAAGTTTAGTGGGAGAAAGGTATAGTTTTGGTGGAGAGGGAAAGTTTTTTTTTTTTTTTTGAAGAAGATTGGTTAGGGATGATTGCGAACAAGTTTCTGCTGTAGAGATTAGAAGGAGCTGTTTATGTTTATGGATATGGAAGGAAGGGGCTTTTCTGATTTGCTTAGGAATACGAGTGAAGAGATTTTCCTTAAGACGATGATGGAGAATCCGATTGGGATCACAGCACCGAGCATGGAGATGCTAGGGTTCAAGAACATCTCACAGTCTTTTAGGGGAGACAGTGAAGAACTGTTCAATAACTGGCTGACGAGTGGAGAGGCAATTATTTGTTTTTCTTATGTTTTCCTTTTTTATTCTTTAGTGGCTATTTAGAAGAATCTAGTGTTGTTTTTCCATTTTTTGTGTCTGAAACTCTTGTTTTATGAGCTGCTTGATGTACTGTTTTAGGCATGATTTAAGTATGATTTAGCTTAAATCTTACTAACAGTAGTTTAGGTGCTGTAAATCTGATTTTTTTGGTAAGTTTTATTTAGCTATGTTATCAGTTGATGATATGTGATATCTTACTATCCGTCGCATGTAACAAATTTAAGGATTTCTCTGTCACAAATCTTAAATCCTTGAATGAATACCTGAATGGCTGTTAAGATTTTAAGATTTAGCAATTGTTATGTCAAACAGTTTTCTTGTTTTAATCCTAAAAGAGCAGCTCAAACTCCATATGTCCATTTCATGAATTATATGATGCTAACTGATTCTTCCAAACACAATTTGGTCTTTACCTTATTCGCGTGCTAGTGTTTGTTTTTCAGGAGAATTACATGCATACCAAAACTCAATTCTTATGTATTTAAGTATATAACACACAAACATCAATTTTTTACATATATGCTACGTTTCATAAGCATGAAATTAGCATTTCAATTTTTAATGTTAAACTAGTCGTATTTTTTATGTGAGATGAAAGATTTGAGTGGTATGAATCTAAAAGTGAAGTTTATATGTTAGATTTGTAAATACATAATAATTGGGTGGTATGTAGTAAATGCCCATTGTTTTTTCTGGTCCATAGCAATCTTTTTGTACTTCGTACTTTACTGTTGGTAAGAAATCTAGTCATATATGTTTCAGAACATATCTAGTCATGATGCTTATTGAAATTTCCGTTAATAAACCTAGAAATTGTTAGTGATAACTGTAATGTTATTGGTGTTCATTGCATTTACTTTAATAATACTATTCTCATACTTACAAGTGCTACAATGAGAAATTTAAATGAATTAAAGTTTCATTGTTCATCATGATAGGTTGACAATTATTTTCATCTTTATCTTAGTTTTTCAAAGATGGGATACATTTACAACCAAAGATAATATAATTATGAGATTATACATGATGTATGATTTATGCTAAAGTTTCAATGTATTGAAAACAAGAGATTTCATCATCATCAGCAACAGCAGCATCACTAACTTTATCCCAATTATTTGTGGTTGGCATCATGAAATTTTATTTTCATTCGTTCATACTTCGTGATGACTAATGGTTAAAATTGATTTCTGTTGTTGTGTGGATGTATTGCAATATTTTTAATCCTACCATTTACCTTCTAAATGTGTTATACCAATATTTCTAATAATATTTATTTAAAATTTTATGTTGTTTTTTGCACTTAACAGACTTCTGGCTACGGTTCATCGGTTGCAACTCATCGTGCCCGACAACCATCTCGGAGGTGGGTAGGTAGTATTGCACGTGCTAGAGTGTGATTTTTTTTCTAATATTTAGCCTTGTTGGGGGTCACTATGAAAATAATCTCAGAAAATTTTTTTTCTGTAACACAAGAGAGAGTAAATATAGGTAAGTTAAAAAGAAAATTTTTAGCCGATAGATATAATTTGTTTTTTAACAGCTAAGTGATACATAGTCAATAAATTTTTAAGCAATGAGCAAAAATTTAATATTTAATAAAGGAGGCTCATAAGAGGCAAACGATTGCATAGAACATGAAATGTCCTATATCATAATACTGAAGTTGGGGTAAAACTGTAAAAGGTGGAAATGCCACTTAATGTTGTTCACCAGTTAGGGACTGACTTGCTATTTTAGCATTTCTTCAGTTTGTTTACTTCGACCGGTTAATTCTATCAAGAGGTTTGTGCTAATTAGTAAATAAACTATTAATGTAATTTCTATTGCAAGATTTTTTTTTCTTCAATATTAGGCGCAACATTCTAAAAATGTTTCTAAAATTTATTTGAATTTTGCATGGATGGCCTCTGACTCTTTTGATTTGCAGGCTATCCACAGATCCCGCTCCAATCCAACAAAATGGAGTACCATCTCAAAAGAAAAACAGTGATGATAATCCAGTTGCTCTCAATTTAAGCGCCATCGATGAACATTCAAATGATCCTGGCCAATTTTCTCTCAGGTGATTATAATTGAAATTCATTTTTATTTTTTAATATTTCTAGAAGTAGAGTAGATAGTTTTTTTAAATTTTGATCATGAGGTTGAAATTAGAAACTTGAAATAAAAAAAAAGCTCAAACTATCATTTTCTATTGTCTTAGCATTCTTCTTTCTCACACACAAGTATTTAAGTAGAGAAGGGAACACAATAATTTTTATGCTGAAAACCATATTCTAAATAATATTACACTCAAAGATATTATAGCACACTTATAATCAATAAATTTATTTTGCAAATGTGACACTAAACATCTGAACTTTTATGTAAAATAAATGATAAAACTGATGAGTGATTGTTTAAATTTTGAGCTCTTTGTTTTATATCCACTCAACTACACAAATTAAAACAATTATTTTATTAAAAGTCAAAGTTACACCGAACGCAAGTATCCAAGTGCTCTAAAGATATGTGTATGATATGAAGCATAATCACTTTTGGGCTTAATTAATAAATTTATTTTTCACATAGAAACAAAAAGCATGATATTCAAAATTCTCCAAAATAAAATTCACTAGTAATTAGCTACTTAAATATGCAATTGGTTAAATCTAACTATTAGGTCTTCTAGAGATCCTATAGCAGCTATTTAAAATGGATATGCGCAAATCTTTAGTGTCCATGTAGCAATCGTTTTGGCTCCTATGTAATGATATATATGAGTTCAATCATACACATCATAGAATAACATTATGTATTATTGCAACTCCTATGTAAGGTTGTGAATTTAGCTCGAAGATTGTTAATCGCTCAAATCGTTTCAAATTTTGGCTCGGTTTGAGATCGAATCAAAATAAATGAGTCGAGCTATGAGCCGTAAGATCAAAATTTTTTTGAGCTTATTTCGAGCCGTACATGGATCGGCTTGATGTATTTTTTATTTTTGAAAATTATATATATAATGCTAAATAAAGTTAAACATAACGAGTCACGAGCTGGAACGAATCTGAATAACTCAATTTGAGCTAGCTTTTTTCTATTTTGAGCCATATTAAACCGGTTTTGAGCTGAAACAGATCCAAATAACTCAATTTGAGCCTACTATTATCAATTTTGAGCAGTATCAAGCTCGATTAATTTCGAGTTGAGCTGACTCGAAATCAAATATAATGAACCACAAGCCGATTTTGAGCCGCGCTCAATCCATTCTAGCCATTTTCGAGCCGACTCCAGCTCGGCTCAAAATCGGGTTGTTATTCACCCTAATCCTTTGTACGCTCACCCAATAAATAGTATGACTAGGTTTTGCAAAGTACTTAATTTATATGTAACTATGATCACTTAAAATGTGTTTTAATCTAACATGTTGTAATGCTCGTGTTCATCTTCTTTAGATCTTTTGGTAAAAATCTAATTCAAATAATTTTCAATGAATATTAATAAAAGCTTATTCATGAGCTACACCATAATTATGGAATCTTGATTCTTCACTTAAGTCTTCATTGAGAGGAACGTTCAGTGTCAGAATTTGTTGTTGATCAGATGAGGATTATTTCATGTTCTGATATACTGAGTAAATGACCTTAGGGGCATTTACATGCATTCCTCCCAATTCCTATGTATTTACATATCTAACACCTAAACTATACTCTTACATTTCTACACCCTAATCTTTCTTACCCAATAAAAAATGCCACTATTTTAACTTCTAAAAAGTGAATACTCTTTTGCATAGGTAAGTTGCCATATATATAAAAGTTGAAGTTTAGGTGTTAGATATGTAAATACATGAGAATTAAGTGGTTTGTATGTAAACCTTCCATGATTTTATTGATATCCTTTTGTGTTCAGCATTTTCTATAGAGATTTACAGTTTGATGATGCAATAGATCTCATTTTAGTGTTTATTTATTTTCTTTATCAGGAATGCAGCAGAGAAGGGGTTGCAATCTAGCAATATGTATTTAGCCAAGGTCTAAATTCTTACCTCCAATTCTCATTCTTTTTATGAAGGCAAAATAATTTAAAAAGAAATGAGTAATTACATACCTAACACCTAAAGTTTTAAGAAATTTGTATTCCATTTATAGAAAGTTAATAAAAGTGATATTTTTTATGTGATGGTAAAATTGAGGGTTATAAATAAAAATATGAAACTTTGTGTTAGATATGTAAAGACATAAGAATTGTGTGCTATATATGTAAATGCCACTATTAATGTTTTATAGCCATCTGTATTTCACTCTTTCAAACAGGCATGGTTCCATAGTAATCAGCCAATGACCAGAAGCAGATCATCGGAACTAAGGTAAAAGTTTCAAAACTGATTGGTGTGATTAAAGCAGAGTTTTTTTAGCATTTGTCCAAAAATAATTAAATATTAATATTCTATTTTAAGATTAAAAATTCCAAACTAATTTAAATTAAGCAAGTTATATGGTCTATTTATTTTCTTTCCAAATGCATTTGATTTCTTAATTCTATTATTATTTGATTTTTTAGTTTCTTTAGCTTGATGAATATTATATCGAATATTAAAATTTTTAAAACAAAAAACGAAAATGTTATGTTAGAACCGAACCGAATTAACCAAATGAGCTTAGTTCAGTATGCTTTTTCACAATGCATAACCCTAAAGTGCATCATCAAACCAAACAATCTCCTCTGAATATTGTTTGTAAATCTTGAAACAGTACACTTTGTTCAAATATTAATAAATATGTCATATGCACTAAAGGTGCAAATCTATATTACCTCACATTATTTACAACAGATATGCAAATGTTTGCTATTTGCCTGCAGGAGGAGGTATGCTGCAATGCAAAGCTCACAAATGGCAACACTTCCACCAGCATCAGATAACATTCCAGCTTATAATTCCACCAAAGTAAAGCAGGAATTTACAAATTCAGCCAATTTTTGCGACATTCCAATGGCCGAAATGCCCAACCAAATCCATTCTTTCATGTCTCCTTCTACTTCCTCCACATCTTTTAACACTCCCCCGAGAGCAACAACTGGCGACAATGTCTCTTCAGTTGTGAGCATGCTTAAGGGAACCTTGGAAAGAAAAAGGCTCAACTCCAAGGTTGAAAAAGAAACGGCGGAACTAAGTTCTTCTAACCTTTTTAGCTCTCAAGAAACCATGCCTAACATTACCTCAAATCAAGTTACTGGACCTGCAACGTCCTTCCACATGGTTTCCCCTATGCAAGTTACGGGTTTAGGCAACTTGGCGAGGGTGGAGAAGTCGTTAGAGCTAAGCATCGAAGGTTTTCTTACTCAGGCAAACCAGACACATATGGAGGTGGCTTCGCAGGAGCCTTCACTAAGCGAATCATCAACTGCTGCACCAGAACCTTCGACTGGCTTTGATGCGTGCGATGGCCCGGCTCACTCTGGACATACAATCTCTAATTGTGTGATTTCAGGTCGACATGTTGGTGATGGCACTTCTGACTACGAATTAAAAACAAACGGTATGTCATTGATTTAAGGAAAATTTACGTACATTCCACACAACTCTTATGTATTTGCATATCTAACGCCTAAAGTTTGCTATTTATATTTATAACGCTTTTGTGTTATCAACATATGAATGAAAATGTGTATTTTAGTTTTGAAAATTTAGTAATAGCAGTATATTTTTTGTGCTGTTAAATATTTTAATTCTGTGCATGTAAATTTGAAAATTCGAAAGTTTAGGTGTTAGATGTGTAAATATATAAGATTTGTGTGGCATCCATTGATTTGATTGTGATCAATCATTTTATGGCGAGTCTTATAGGTGATGTTGTATATTGGATTTGTATGTATTTTGAAGATCAAATGAAATGCATTTATGCATGTACCCCTCTCAGTGATTTCTGTTCGCATCTCAAGCAAAAGTTCTGGAGCATTTATGCATGTACCCCTCTCAGTGATTTCTGTTTGCATCTCAAGCAAAAGTTCTGGATTTTTTTTTGGGGCAGTCCTCTTAATTTAAAGTCGCTTATATAGTTTAAATTCATGATCCTTAAGTGAGCATAACTGTTCTGTTTATTTCTGCTGGAAAACAATTTCTAGTTCTTTACCATTTTTTTATTTATTTGGGATATTTGCATAAGGACCACTCGAAACATTGATATTTACAAATTAACCACCGAATTGAATTTTTTGAACTTCTGTACCCATGTTTACCCTTGCCACGATTAAATTATTGAGGATTTGATAAAAATGAAAAATATTTGTTGGGGTTTTACCATGAATTTGTATATTTGAGTGAGAATTTGAAAGATGGATGAAATAGGGTGGTTGATTTATAAATAGCAAGTTTCGGGTGGTCTATATGTAATTGCCCATGAGGTAGGTAGAGAGGTCCCCAACCTAACTTGAATGGTATTTAAGATGCTTTTTGCAGATTTTGTAGAGAACTTACATTTTATTTGTTTTTTCTCTTCTTTTTAATTCATGGGACTGGGATGGTTTTATATCTGCTGTACTCAAATTAGTTCTTATAGCAATTAAAGAACTTCCTAAGGTGCATATTGAAAACATATGAGGCAAATAATGGGAACTAGATTTGAACCTGCTTTCCAAAATCTCTTTCCTATTTGAATCATAAAGGCCTTCCTATATACGTAGATTCTTTCTACTACACACACGCGTGCGCGCACGCACGCGCACGTATATACGTAGATTCTTTCTACTACACACACGCGTGAGCGCACACACGCGCACGCACACAAAGACACAGCGAGAGCGAGAAGTGTCGAAATGTTCCCTCGACTCTTCTTCAGAGGTCATTTTAGTCCCAAATTCTATAAAAATGTCAAATTAGTCCCAAAATTTAAAAAAAAAAAAAGAAAGATTAAAATAATTGTCATGTTAAAGGAGTTTGATGACTATCTAGACACTTCTATAAATCCTGCCACTAAAATGGCCTTATTTACATAGTCAGGGGACTATTTTGGCACTTTACTATATATTTACATATAATATTTTGTAAGCTTTGCAAAATTATAAAGAACTAATAAGTATGATATTCATCAGTGCAAGGCCTGCTGATCTATTCTTACAATAGTATGGTGATAAAAATTGCAATTTTACATGATTTTATTGGTAAAGAAGAGAGCTTTATTTGTGTATTTTGTTCTCCTCAAGTTTATTTTATTTTCTGCTCTGAAATATACATCATTGCACTTGGTAACACATATGCTTACCTTTGCAATGCAGATTACAGGGAGAGGATGTTTGAAAATAGTTTCAAGGATTCTACGAAGGTACGTTATGATTTGAAACTAACACTTGGGGTCATTTTGGCAAATTTCAATGTAAAGACAACGTTTTAGGTCTTTTTTTTTTAATTTATCTTCCATTCTGTTTTTTTGCAGAAATCAAATCTAGTGAGGGTGGGCTCGATCACTTCAGCAAATTCAGGTAATTTGTTGGGGATTACGATATTCCTGCTCTTTAAACATTGTACCGTATCATTGTCTGAAACTATCTTTCTGGATTCATTTTCTCTCTGTTTTTGTGACATGTTTTTCTCTGTAAATATGCTCTTAAGTGGGGGTGTAAACGGGTCGAGTCAAGCATGAGCTTGATCTTGATAATTAATCGAGTTCGAGATCAAATTTATAGAATTTCATGCTCGAACTCGAGCTTAATGCTATGAGTTCAAGCCGGCTCAAGAGTAGGCTTGTTTATTGTGAAATAGAAAAAACAATGTTAATTCAAACTTTGTTATCAAAAAAATGACAAATAGATTGAGAATTTAGGATATAATTAATAAGAAATCACATAATATAAAATATAAAATATAATTTTGTAAATATTTTAAGTAATTTAAAGATAAAGTTAAATTTTAAAATATTTTGAGTATATTTTGTATTAATTATTTTTTAAACGAGCAGGCTCACATGCTAATGAGTTGAGTCGGGCCTGTCTTAAGCTTGACTCGTTAGCCAATCGAGCTTATTTCAAGAGCTACTTATCAAGCCGAGTCGAACCGGCTTGGCTCAATTATGCTCCTAATCTCGGGTGAAAGAGAATCAAACTTTGGTCAGTAATGTTTTCAGAAATAAATGAACTATCACTGTAGAGATCATTAGGAATTTAGCTTTTTAAAGCTCATTTTTGTGGTGCTAAAACCTGCCTCTTTCATCACATTGAACCAAAATAAATAAATAAATAAATAAAATACACAAAAGTGAGGCTCAATGACTCCAAACTGATGACTTTTTTTGTTCATCTTTAATTATCACATCTTGATTTACTGAAATATGAGCTTAAAATTTTAATGCATTAAAGCTCTAATTTTATAGATACTCGCATCTTATATCGTTCAAAAATGCATCTTTTAAATAAAATTCAAGCACATTTGCATTTAGTTTTAGATATCTAGAGTCTGAAATGCACTTCATTTACACGGGGGCATTTTGTAATTATTCGAATTTTTTATAATTGAATAAGTTTTATTAAGTTCATTGAATATTGATGTGTTGTCTGTTATGTCTGTAACACATTTGTCTCCTTTGCTGGTAATGAATGCAGTGGACACGGCAGATCCAACAAAGAAAAGGAGGGTTGAGCGCTCCCGCAAGTATGTGTGCTACTTCTATGCAATATTCACAAGAAAAAGAAAGAAAAAAGAAAATTTTACATACATACCACACAGTTCATATGTATTTAAATATGTAACGCCTAAAGTACGATATTTACACTTATAACAACCTGTGCATGAAAAATATATTTTACTCTTAAAGATTTGAATGTTTTGCATGTAACTATGAATGTTTAGGGGCTGGTTATGTAAATACATAAAAATTGTGTGTTATATATGTATATGCCTTAAAAAAAAATCATATATGTAAAATGAATAGCATTTAGCAGCATATTAAAAGGGCACTATGCTTTCCATTACAATCAAACATGTTTTTGTATCAAATCATAACCTAAGCAAAACGACATAAATATATATATAACAAAAGTGATCCCAAACAACCCCTGATTCTGGAGAAAATATTAAGTCCAGACGACAAATCTGCGGATGACAGTGTGGATCACACCACGCCATCATCCGCACCTCCAGTTTACCGGACATAATATTTTCTCCTAAATTTATCAAGCATGTTTTCTTCATGAGTAAAAAATTAAGCTCTAAATTTTATCGAGGCGCTCATCATTCCTTTTTATATGTAGTACATTTGCATGTTTTTCAATTTTAAGAACATTAAATTTGCTTATTTCTCTACTCTAATTGTTTAGGATGGCTGAGGCCAAGGAAAGGAATTCTTCACCAGCATTGCCGTCAGACATGCAGGCAGTTCTGAAGCGATGTGAAACTCTGGAAAAAGAAGTTAGATCTCTCAAATTGAATCTTTCTTTCATGAACAGGTAATTGAAGAAAAATATCATATGTCAGCTTATCTTTCGTATGGTTGGATTTTGTGGCATTTGCATAAATACCACCCTATTCATATATACTTACATATCTAACATCTAAACTTCATTTTTTTTACTTTTTTATCTCCTAAATTTGTCATATCACATTGAAAATACCACTATTTTAACTTTTAAAAAGTGAAATGCACCTTTTATTAGCTAAGTAGCATGAATGTAAAGATTGAAATTATATATGTAAATACATACAAATTGTTTGGTATGTATGTTAAATCCCCTGGGCCCCTGGGGACATTTACATACATACCACCCAATTCGTATATATTTACACATCTAACATCTAAACTTTACTTTTACATCTTACCACCTAAATCTATCATATCACATAAAAATACTACTATTTTAAGTGTTAAAATGTGAAAATTGAAATTTAACTGTTATATATGTAAATACATAAGAATTGTACAGTTTGTATGTAAATCCTCCTTGGGGCATTTATATACAGACCACCCAATTCCTACATATTTACACATCTAACATCTAATTGCATTTTACCACCCAAATCTGTCATATCACATAAAAAATATCACTATTTAACTTTTAAAATGTGAAATACACTTTTTCATGCATATGTTAGGTGGTTTTGTTGAGAAAATTAGGGCGAAGAAAAACAGTAATCGACACAAATCCAGAAGAACACAGAGATTTAACGAGGTTCGGCAAAGATGCCTACGTTCTCGGGAGCAGAGCGGCGAGTTCCTTTCAATATTCAGAAAAGGATTTACAGAATTCAGGATACCTCATGGGATTACTAACATGCCTATTTATAACCCCAGGAGTAAACTTAGGCACAATATGTAATTACAACATTACCCCTGTGCCAAACCGCGGGGCTTTGCTCCCGCACCCCAACCCACGTAACTTCCCAATTTGGACAGATTCTTCCGCTCCGCTCCGCTCCGCTTCGATCCAGCGTCTGTCCCTCCAGCGTCTGTCCCGATATGGTATATGAGCCATACCATAACAAATCTCCACCTTGGCGAATATCCAGCCCCTTAGGAGAAAAA